GTCTAGGAAGTCAAATCCTAATAGATTCTCCTCTACATCTGCCTCATAGACTGGGTAGTCGAACCTTCTTCCAGCTATTGAGATTTTCGTCATTACTGGGCCATAGAGTACTCCGGTATGTGACGTTGCTCCCTTCATCCTTAGCTTGGCTCTGGGTATTTCTCTCCCTGTTCTTTTTAATACTGTGATCGTAGCGCCTGTGTCGGCTACTGATTTGTCCTCTTTGTCTAGTATTTGGCACGAGAGTATAGGGGCCATTCTTTCCACATTACAAGCTCTGCAGCTTGCTTCTGGTGTGCACTTAAAATTTCCCTCCAGAGTCTCTCTTCTCTTCTCTCTCCTTGTTTCTGTTTTAATTTTCTTTTCCTCCGGTCCTCTTTCTGGGGTTTCTGCATCAGTTTTCTTTCTCTTTATTTTGCTTGTTGTGGGCTCTGTGGAGAAAAGGGTGACTATCTCTTTTTCTGTCACTTCCTTCTCTGCCTGCTTTTCCGAGGTCTCGGGGTCAGCCCTCTCTTCCGGGACCTCTCTTAGTTTTCCGAGTTCGGAACGTAGGGCATCTTTTCAGTCTTTACCGCATTCCCAGCGACCCCTGTGCTGGTGCTCGCCCCTTGGTTAACTCTGGAGTTAGAAGAGCCTTGTGAGGCGGGGAGCATTCTGGTGTTGCTGCCAGAGTTGTTTCCAGTGTTTTGGAATCCTTCTGCGTTTCCTCCTGTCCTATACCAGGCCATGGCCGCTTGGTACATGTCTGGTGGCATAGCTGGACCAGGAAACCAGGATCTGTTTCCTTCTCCCCTTCTATTTTCGTTGTCGGAGTTCCGTCCTCGGTATGTGCCGTTGGCGATATCCCGGGCTTTGGTTCTGCACTCGTTGGCTTTGTGGCCGCTTCGATTGCAATAGAAACAGACCATCTCTCGTTTCTGTCCCTCCTTCTCTTGGCGTTCCCAACAGCGATCGACCGTGTGATTGGTCCTATCGCAATAGGTGCAGTGTAATGTTCCCCTTCTCGGGTTATCATTCTTATCGTCTCTCTCATTGTTATAGGATCCTCTGGATGGGCCGCCGCCGCGGCCGCCGCGGCCTCCACGGCCTCCTCTTTGACCGCCTCTACCACCTCTGCTGCCCCTGCCGCCCGTCTGTGTGTTGACGTCGGTCTTGGGCGCGGTGGCGATGTCGAGGGCTGCGACGACCGTTTGGAAAATTTCGTCGCTCGGCTCGTCTTCGTACTTCTCTTCCTCCTGAGGTGGGTGGTTTTCTGTCTCCACTCTCCTCACTCTCTTTGTAGGGCCGTCTATAGCCGACTGGAGATCCAGCCTGCGGTTGTATTCTGAAATCGCAATTTCCAGGGTAGCTGGTGAGGCGAAAGTGAGCGCGTGGGCCCCCTTTTTGTCTTGCAGGCCTTTAATGAAAACGGTGACCATTGCGTCTTGGACGTCGTTTTCGCTATCGGCCGTCATGAAACTTCTTCCTGCCCTTTCCACTCTTAGGGAGAATTCTCTTATGGACCCTTCCGGTTCCTGCTTCATTTGTTCAAAATTCCTTTTGAGTTCCCATCTCGATTGTTTCTGAGTGAACATTCTCTTAAGGGCCGCATCCAGATTTTCATACGATATTTCCTTGTTCTGTTTTTGCAGGATTTCCAGTGCCGACGTGGCCGCTCCAGAGAGGCTGCGTATTAGTTGCGTCCTCTTTTGCTGGGATGTCCAGCCATTGTCCTCTGCAATGATTTGGAATTGCACTTGATAGAGAGAGTAGCAAGTTTTGCCGTCGTATGGTGGGACTTTCACTTGCTGTTGGACGAAGCTGACCCGGGGCCCTCCGTCGCGCCCGTAGGGGTTGACGCGTTCTCTGTGCCTCTGGGCCACTCGTCTCTCATCTCTGGGAAAACCTCGTACGTATGCTCCAGGTTCTCTTTCGTTTTCTCTTTCTCTCTCTTTCGTTGTCCTCATTTCTCCTTTCGCCTTCTCTCCTTTCACCGCCTTCGTTTCTTCTTTCTCTTTGCCTCCTGTCCTCTGCTCCGCTATCTCGGCTGATTCTCTTTCTGTTTCAGATTCCGACGGTCCTGCGTCTGTTGACATATCGTTGTCCGAGCCGCTCTCTCGGCTGCTTTCTCTGACGTTCAGTCTGCGAGCCGTCTCGTCTCGTGCATTGAGACGGCTTACCGACCAACCAACTCGACGGCGTCCGCGGGCTTGCCGGCGATTTCTGCCGCTGCCTCTCGGTCTGCCTCTGGGTCGGCG